GCCGCAGGCCCTGGGGGTGGGAGCCGAGAGGGGAGTTCAGACGTCGCGCGCCCCCGCGACTGGTACCGCCCAGGAGAGAATACAAACAGTCGCAGATCGCCCACCACGTGCCGGGTACCACGTAAGCATTTTGCAGTTCCTCGCTCAGTCATTCTCCTATGTTGCCGTTGGGAAAACATGCACGGAGAGGTGAAGTACGTTGCCCAAGAGCAAGTAGCTATAAGGGGTGACAGGATTTGCACACAGGAGGCCGGATCCAGAGACTGCTCTCAAACAAGATGCCTGCTAATACAAGATACCCGCTCATGGTTGAAACACGGGGCCTGAGAATCAGGCAGCTTAGGAGCAAGTGGGGTGTAGTTTACATACAGTGAAGTGCACAGTTCTTAGGTGTACCGCTCGACACGTATGTTTACACGTTATATATCCGTGTACCTAGATCAAGATACGGAACAAGTTCCATCACCCCAGAAGGTTCTCTCAACAAGCTCTGTACTTGCTGAGTACCTGAGTTAACCTCTCCCATGCCTCCATTTCCCCAACTGGTAAATGGAGATAATAATACAATAGCCAACACTGAGTGCCTGCCAGGCACTTTGCTAAGTAAGGGCTTTGCCAAATATAGTCACTCATCTGATCCTCACTCCAACCCCAGGAGCTAGACATCATTATCATTCTCATTTTACAGATGGGGAGACTGAGGCACAGAGCAGCTGAGGAACTTGCCAAAGGCACATGGCTAGTGGCAGCCTGCTAATATCTACCTTGCTGCGTTGCTGCACCGTAGAGCGCTGAGAACTGTGCCCAGCACGCACTAGGTCATCAGTCAATCTTAGCAGCTATTATTCGTTAAACAGCCCCCGTGTATCCAGAACACTCTCTCACACATGCAGCTGAGCTGCCCCAATTTTAAGCATTAAGTGAATTTGATCAATTTCCTCAACCGTGAAATTGATGGGCCAGTCCTGTTTTTCCCAACACGGCTGACAGCCAGGAGTATTTTCATCAAGACAGAAAAACAAAATTTAAGAAAACGCCCCGCCTCTTAAAGAACTCCATCTAGTGCAGCATGATCACGAACTTTTCAAAATAATTTGTGTGTCCACCTGCCCATCATCCTTCAGTGCTCCATTCTTCCAACTTATATTTTTTTGGTAAGAGAGGTGAATGACAATACTTATCTGGTAGGGTTACTGTGGAAATTAAATTAAATAAGTGGCATAACCCCCCTAGGACAGTACTTGGCACATAATAAGTCTTTAACCAATGTATTACTAATATTATTATTGTTCCTCTTTTATATATGTTACTTTGGGCTTTGGTGAAAGAGTTGGTTTGATCAAGTTTCCTCCACTGAGTGATTGGAGAATCACTGCTCAAGATCAAGAATCTACTCATTAAGATGTGGCAACTAAGGCTCAGAGAGGTGGATAGAGGTCCAGAGATATTAGGGGCTGAAAAGCTCCCCACTGTGCTCAGCCTGAGTCAGCACTCTCACTGTCTCTGTCCTCTCTCCCCACGGGTGTCTGGAGAGCTTGGTTTTTTGTTTTTGTTTTTGTTTTTGTTTTTGTCATTTTCTTTTTCATGGCCAACAGACATTCTCCTTACTTCTAGTCATGAGGTCCTGACTTTCTTTTGGGGAACACCCTTGCCTCCATCTCAGCCCAGATAATTAAGTGAAGGCTGACCCCACCTGCTGGTTCCAAGGTGGGCCCTTAGCCCAGATCAGGCACTTCAGAGCTGTCTAAATCCCTGGCCACCAGGATGAGTTCAGGGTGGACACGTGACTCAAACTGAGCCTAAAAGAGTTACTCCTGGGACTACTGCTGAAATTACTGACAGAGAAAAAATCTCCTCAGTTTTATGAGTGGGATGTAAACTTGAACCTGTCAGAGCTCTTTCACCAGCAGGAGAGAGGAGTTGGCCTGAGAACAAAGGTAACAGGAAAAAAAATTTGGAAATGAGAAATTCAGGACATCTTGGAAGCATCTGGATGGATCTGTATCTGCTGTCCACAGTCTTCTCAATCACAAGAGCCAATAAATTCACTTTTTTGGCTTTAACCAATGATAGAGCTGTTTTTCTATCATTTGTATCCAGATGTGTCCTAACCCACTCTCCGGCCCTGGCTCTGCTCACCTGGTTCTTTTTGATGTGCTGCTGGACAGCTTGCAAACCACTGCCTCGTTCTGTCTGCATGGCCAGTGGCAGCCGCTCCTGGACCCATGCCTGGAGAGGAATCAGGGAGCAGGTCAAGGGAAGGACACAGAGAGCAGGGCCAAGACCCCTGCATCCCCCAACTAAACTGTAAGCCACCTCTACAGCATAAAAGGCCCCTCCTCACCTAAGAGCCTGCTCATGTTTTCAGCCTCCTCTCTGGACGTTTTCTGTCTTGCTCTCTGCACTGGAACCAGGCTCATGCTTACCTCTGGCCTTTGTCTGGGCAGGTCTTGCTTCCTGAATTCCCTTCCCACTCCCTCAGCAGGCTCATTTGTACTCTTCCTCCACGTCTCAGCTCAGACATCCCCTCCTCCAGGAAACCCTCTCTGACTTCAGACCTTGGCCAGTTGCTTCCTCTGGGCTCCCATGGCCTCCCAGCTTCTCCCATCACAGCCCTAATCACCCTGGGTTCTTCTCACTGACTGAGGACAAGTCTGTTTTCCCCTTTGGACTTTGAGTCCTCTATAGGCAGGAACGGGGTCTGCCTTAGTCACCCCTGTGACCCTAGCATCACGTAAGCACAGAGAGGTGCACAGAATGAGCAAATTCTTGAAGGAACGAATGAGCAAACCAGGAGGTGAGTGACTGAGGAAGTGACTGGATGAGTGACAAGTGAGTAAGTGAATAATAAATAAATGAGTGAAGGAGGGAATAAAGGATGAATTGATGAATAAATCAATGACTTCATGAATAAAGCAATGAGTGATTGAAAGTAAATTAAATGTAAAAGAGCGAACGAATGCATAAGTGAATGACTACATGAAAAAATTAAGGCTTGAATAACTGAGTCTATCAGTGTATCAGTGGGTGGGTTTCTCAGCCATTTCCACCCTTGAACCCACCGAGGTCCCACGGCCCCGACCCCATCCCAGTCTCCACCCCCTCTGCCCGCTGGCCCGCCTCTGGCCTCACGCCCCGCCCCCTCCTCGCTCACCTCTCCTCTTACCCAGGCCCCGCCCCAAATCCCCCGCGCGGATCCTCACCAGCTCGTCGTCGAGGTCGTGCGCCACCTGGTGCAGCTCCTTGGAGGCTAGCAGCAGGCGGCGGCGCTCCTGCAGCGGCTCGAGCAGACGCACCAGGCGCTCGCCCACCGCGTTCTGCCGCTCGCCCACCAGCTCCTTGCTCGCCGGCTCCAGCGGCAGAGCGGCTGTCTGCGCCTGCAACTCTCCCACCTCGCGGTACCACTCCTCCACCTGCGACTCCATCGACTGTGGGAACAGGGGCCGGGTTAGCAGGCCCCACCCTCCCTCCCCATCCTGCTGTGGCTCTCCAGTACCTTTATGGTGACAGCCAAAACCCTGGTCGAGGCCCACTGTTCCACTCTCCCCTTGTTCAGTTCCCTCCAAAAGCGCTGCCCTCCTCTCTGTTCCTACAACCCACTGAGCTAGTTCCTGCCTCAGGGACTCTGCCATTGCTGTTCCCTCTGACAGGCATGCTCTTCCCTGTCAATCAGATTTCAGCTCAAATATTACCTTTTCAAAGGGGCTTACCTGACCCCCTTGGACTAAAACGGTCCATTAGTTCATTAATCTCAGAAAAACCCTTCAAGGTTGGTGGTATCTCTGTTTTACAGAGGAGGAAACTGAGGCCCAGAAAAGTTAGGTAATTTGTCCGGAGAGTCAACCTTCCCAAATACCAAAAATAAATACAAAGTACAGTGATTTAAATGGATGATGTGCCATAGGGATAGACAGAAAGCGCAAAAGCAGACCTGAATACACAGGAGAATTCATATAGTTATAGATGCCATTTCCAATCTCCAAGGAAAAGATGGATTATTCAATGAATGGTCACCAGCCAAGTGGCTGACCAATTTAGCTGGATCCCTTCCTTGCTCTTTATGCTGAAAACAATTCCAGATGGATTAAAGACTTGAGCGGAATAAGTAAATCCATAAGGCATACAAAGAAAACCTGGGCAAATAATTTAATACTCTTGGGATGGAGAAAATCTTTCCAAACATATAAACCATAAAGGGAAAGATTTATAAATTTGGCCACATAAAATACTTTGGCATCAACCAAAATTTCTAGCTTTAGTTAAAGGCAAATGACAAACTGGAAAACTATTTAATATGTGTTAGGGCAAGGAACTAGTTTCTTCAACAGTAAAAGAATTCCCTTTTATCCTGCTTCCTTTGTCTCTATGAGACTTAACCACCATCGGATAACTCTGTCTTTACTTGTGAGGTGGTCTTTTTTTTTTTTTTTTGGATTTGACCTCCTGCTCCTAGAATTGGAGCTTCATGAGGGCAGAGGCTGTGTCAATCCACCTCTGTATTCCCGAGTGCCTAGAACAGTGTCTGGCATGTAACAGGCCTTCAACTGCGATTCATTCAATGCACAGATGAATGACATCAGCAAAGAGAGGTTGCCCAAAAGAGAAATGGGCCTCTGATGTGAACAGGCAACATAAGAAAAAATAAGCACGTGAAAAGATACCCAGTCTCACTAATCAGCAGGATAATACAGATCAAAACAAAATATCCTTTTCTATTCATCAGATTGGCAAAAATGTAAAAGATGGATAATATCTAGTATTGGCAAAGACACAGGGAGATGGGCACACTCAACCACTGTCAGTGGTGGTGTAAATTAGTAGAGCCTTTCTGGAAGACAGTTTGGCAGGTCCTATCAAAATGCAAAATGTGTCAAAATGCTTTGACCCAGCATTTGCATTTCCACTTCTAGGAATGTATTTAAAGAAACACTGGCACATGTGCACGAAGATGTTTGTCCAAGGATCTCGTAGCAGACTTTATAATGGGAAAAAAATGGACACAACCTTGATGCCCATCCAGGGTGAAATGGTTAAACAAATCCATGTCAGTATGGAATAATACTCAAGACTTACTGATAAGAGGGGGAAAAAACCCAATTTAGAATGTACTTATGGGGGGAGGGTATAGCTCAAGCAGCAGAGGAAATGCTTAGCATGCACGAGGTCCTGGGTTCAATCCCCAGTACCTCCTCCAAATGTAAATGAATAAATAAATCCAATTCCCTCCCCCTCATAAAACAAAAGAAACAATAAATAAATAGATAAGTAAACCTAATTACCTCAAAAAAAGAACATATTCATGAATATATACGTAGTGGATTGCATATGCATAAAACTTCTCTGGAATAAACAAGAAATTAATCACACATGGTACCTATTGGGGCAATGGGAATTTAGTGAATGGGGACAGGGATGAAGGAGAGATTTTTCACATGGGATTTTTATATAGTTTTTGACGTCCTAACCGTAATATTTATTTGTTCAAAAATTTAAAGTAAACATGAAAAACAAAGAACACAAACCCATTGATAATCCATATAGGTACATCCGTTACTGCATAGATAGGGGTCTAGAAGGATGCACGCCAAATAATGATTGAGGTTCCCTTTGGGGTGTGGAATCGAAGGCATGTTGAAGGAAGCCTTTATGTTTTACTGAAGATTTCTAGGTTAGTATCATCTTTTACCAAAAGAACACATTTATGTATTACTTGTGTGATTATAAACAAAGAAAGCTAGAAAAGAAAACAAAATAACAATAATGAAATTAAATGGTAACAGATTACCACAAAAAACTGCAAACGAAAGCTCAAAACTTAAGAACCAAGTCAAGACTTCTGTTGCAAGGTTCTACAGCGCAGAGCTGTTGGTTTTGCCTGCCCAACATCAGCACCTTTCTTCCCAGCACCTGAAACCCCACACTCAGGTCCTGAGCTTCTTGAGGGACTAATAAAACCTAGGGGGGGTCCAAAGGTGGCCCCATGATCCAAATCTGGCCAATCAGAACACTGAAATAACTCTTGCCACCGGGATTGGATCAGGGATGGTCCATGTTACCTAAGCTGGGCCAATGAAAACTCTTCCAGATTCCTGAGGGCTGGTGAAACCCAAGCAAGAATGGCCATGTGACTCAGGCCTGGCCAATGAGAACACTGAATCACCCTGGCCACAAGGATTGGGTACGAGATGGCATGTGACCTAAGATCAGCCAATGAAAACTCTTCCCACTTTTGCTGGAAAAGCGTGTGAGCTCAAAAGAGGTGGTCTTCTTCTCATCAGGTTCCTAAAGCTGGTAGAATATAGGCCTGGGACGCTAAGGACAATTTTGCCACCAAGAGGGAACAGGCTTCCCAACAATGAGGCCAACACTGACGAAAGCAGGGTGCAGAAACAAAGACAGAGATTCCTGAGGGCAGAATCTGAGTAACTGATCCAGCCATGCCCAAAGCTCTTATCCTCTGGATCTTTCAGCTCCATGAGCCAACAATGTCCCCTTTTAGACTAAGCCCTATGAACTGCACCCCAAAGAGTCCCAGCTGACACAGTTCACAATGTGTAGGAGTCATAAACGTGGGTAAAAATCAAACCTTATAACAAGTCAAAACCATGTACGATGAAAAAATTTTAAAGGCACAATTATAAGTGGCAGAAATCAAAGAAAAAGGAAATAGTCATCCCCAAAACTTCTTCACTAAGAAAATCATTGTAGTGATGTATAGAAAAATAAAAATGCACTAGAATTCAGGAAACTTTCAATATAGTCTGTAGTCTGAAATGTTAAAGTTATAAGTTCCAGTTCCCCATGAAATGAAAACCTCTTCAGTAAGTGGCCGTGTGACCTGAGATGAAATAATTCCAGGGACTGACATTTTTCTACTTCTACAAAAATGCTACGTACTTTGAACACTCATTTAATGTGTATCCTTTCCTGCAAACACATGCCAAGGATACAGAAGTACAAAGGTGATTAAACACATCAAAAGATGTTCAGCCTCCTTCAATGTTCAAGAAAATGCAAATGTAAATTAAAAGAACTGCAAAACAGTACCTCTCCCTTCGCAAATTAGCAGAGATGAAAAAGGTTTCTAATGCCTAATAATGGTGACCTTGCGGGCGGATGGCTGGCTGTCATGTGGCAGGTGTGTCCACTGCCTTTTCAGGGGGATACTTGGCAATCTCGGTCAAAAAAGTTTCATGCGTACACCTTTTGGCCCCAATATTTTACTTCGAGGATTACTTTCTGCAGAAATATTTGCACATGGGCATAAACACATATGGACAGGGATGTCTGCTGTGGTATTATTTATACTAGTAGATTGGGAACAGCCCAAAGGTTTCTCAACAGAAGACTGGTGAAAGACAATGTCAAAGCACCCTCTGGAATACCATGCAACCATTTCAAAGGACAGGACATATCCTAGACTTTGTGACTAGGAAGGATGCCTGGGGTGTTTTGTCAAGTGAAAAGTCAAGCTTCAGTCTGGTCTATATGTCGTGTGTCTGTGTGTGGGTATGCACAGAATATTTCTAGAAGGGTAGAGAATACACAGTTGAGAGCAGTTACACCCCTGGGGAGTGGAACTGTCCACGTGGAGGGGGAAGGAAGACTTTACTGTTCACATCATACCCTTCTGTTTGAACTTCTTACCATAACAGCACTGATGAGTAACACATCCTGCTGTTTGCTCTAAGCACTTGGCAAGAATTGATTTAATCCTCACAACATCATATGAGGTCAGGGAAGACGGGGACATTTGTATTGTTCGCAAGTGGAGCCAGCACCTGACTCCACGCCTGGCACAGAGTAAGTCTCCGTCAGTGTGTGTTCACTTTGTTTGCTGGACTGGACACCATGCTATTCTACTTCTCTTAGTATTAAAGATGAACATTAAAAAAAGTAAACTGGCTTTAAACATTAAAACCAAAGGAACCATGAAGTACTCACACAGCCTACATAAAACATGGATGACTCTTGTAAGCACTGTTAAGTGAAGGAAACCAGACACAAAGGACCCTATATGGTATGATTCCATTTATATGAAATGTCCAAAACAGGCAAATCTAGGAGAGGGTATAGCTCAGTGGTAGGGTGCGTGCTTAGCATGCATGAGGTCCTGGGTTCAATCCCCAGGACCTCCATTAAATAAATAAATGAATAAACCTAACTACCTCCCCACCCCTCCCCCTAAAAGAAACAAAATAGGCAAATCCATAGAGTAAAGGAAGTAAATTAGTAGAGGGAGCTGATGGGTACAGGGTTTCTTTCTGGAATTAAATAGTGAGGAGAGTTGCTCAACTTTGCAAATATACTAAAAACCACTGAATTGTTCACTTTAAAATTATGCATTTTAAAGCATAGAATTGTGTCTCTTTTTTTTAAAAAAAAAAAGGTATTAAAGGTGAAAACCAAAACAAAGAACAGAGGCACCTACTTCCAAAAAAGCCTCAGGCATTTTGCCACATGGTGACTGGCAAGCCCCGACTCCCACATCAACCTGATTCCTACTTGGGTCCACCTGCTGCCTTCCCATATTCCAGTTGTGGAAATTGAGGCTCCGAGAGGATCAGTCTCTGGTCTAAAGTAAAAACTGCCAGCACCAGAATTTGTACCCAGGATCATGTGACCACAAAACCCTAGTGGCCCTCAGTCACTCTGCTGCTCTGTGATCAGGGGTAATGAGGCTCAGAAAGATGGGGTCACCTGCCCTCAGTCACATGGTAATAGAAGGGGCATTCTAACCCTGGACTGTGTAGCTCCTGTCCCTGGGCCATGCTGAGCCAGATGAAGAAAATGTGGGACAAATAATGAGAAGTGGGGGAGAGGGTGTTTCCTTGGCCAGAGAAAGAGCCTCACTTAGGTTGTGGGTAGTAAGGCGTCCCCAGGGACTCAGCCCAGCAGCTGCAGAGCCTCCAGTGCATTTTCCCCTAGCTGGTCCCCTCGGATGGCAGGAGACCAGCTTCCCACTTTCCTCCTGGAGCAGGAGCCGGTGGCTGAGCCAGACCAGCTGGTCAGGCCCCCGAGGACTGGGAAAGCAGGAGCTTGGGACTCCACCATCTGGCCCCTCCGCCAGGAAGGACAGTTGGACAGCAGACCCGAGGGAGGACTCTGGGTCACGTGGCCTAGACCCAGGAGGTGGGGTTCCAGGCAGGCTGCTGCAGGGGCAGGGGACAAGGGGAAGGACAAGAGGAGGACACAGGCATAAGGCGAGATCAAGGGAGAGAGGCAGGGATAGAGAAGTGAAACAGAAAGAGACAAAGAGAAGAGAGTGAGAGAGTCAGAGGAAGAGAAAGAGGCCCAGAGATGGAGATAGAAGGGCAAAGAGAGAGAGACAGAGATGGGAGAGAAAAAACTAAGAGAAACAGAGACCCAGAGGAACTGGGGGAGCAGGATTGGGAGACGGGCCCAGGGTGACACAGAGGGGGACAAATCCCTCACACATCCACACTCCCTCCGACCCAGGGCCCGCACCTCCGGCAGCCCAGCCTGGCCCCTGTGGCCTGAAAGATGGGGCAGCCAGGAAACGCGCCCGTCTGGACTGACCTCTCCCTCCTGCCTACGCCCAGTGTCTGGGATCTCAGGCGGGCCACAAAAGACAGTGGGACCTGGGGAGGACCCCCTCCCAAGTGGCAGCTTGAGAGGCCCCAGCTGGGCTCCATCCGGGGGCCTTGGCCCACTGAGTCACGAGCTCCCTCTGCTGGGGAAAGAGCCCAGGAGTCCTGTGCTGGGGCCTGCCCATTGCTGTGTGACACCGAGCCAGGCTCTAGTCCACCCTGGGCCTCAGTCTCTCCCTTAAACAATGGGGAAACCTCTTGGTCTCCAGGGCTTGGTGGGGCTAAACCCAGTCTATGAAGGGAAGAGCCGACCCTGTACTTGTCTTGGGCAGAAGGCCCCAGATCCTCCCTCTGACATCTAAATGCCAAAAAAGGAGCCAAGGACACCCAGGGTCACCAGTTACCCACCCAAATCCAAATGCAGACACCACAGTGAGATATGCTTCCTTTCCATCAGAAAAATCTAAACAGTCTGACAATACCAAGTGGTGGTGAGTACAGGTGGAAGCAAGAGCTGTCATTTGCTGCTGGGGACAGAGCATTCAGTGGCATCAGGACTCAGGCAATCAATCTGTCACCATCAGGTGAACTGCAGACAGTTCTAACTTTTGGCATTTGTGTTAATGTTTCATGTATCACCCCCTAAACCACTTTTTAAAAGTATATGGATAGGAGGGAATACCAAAATGGAAGACAAACAGAAACAAATGAAACAAACTGTTTCACATCAATAACAATCTGCCAGAGGTGGGAAAATAATAACCCAACTTCTGAACACAGTATAGTGATGATGTACCCTCCGGCTGGAGACAATTAAAAATTTTAAACCTATAAACAGGCATTATCTCTTAGTTAGATTTGTTGGGTCAGCGATTCTGAAACTACTTAATGCAGTCTGTCTTGTAATCTTTACAATGTCCAGATGAAATCACTACTGTTATTCTGCCCATTTTACTGAAGAAGAAACTGAAGCCAAAAAGGAGGAGTCGTTTTAAGTCACCCAGTTGGTATAAGTCACAGAGCTGGGCTTGACCCCAAGCAGCCAGGCTCCAGCATCCATGGCTTTGACTGTGGATGAGGCTCCCACAGTCCTGCTGTCACCGAGTGGCTTAGCATCAGGGTCCTTCCCATCGCACAGAGGAGGCACCTGAGGCTTAGACCAGAGGCAAAGTCATGGGCCTAACATCACACACCTTGCACGTGGCATGCTAAGCCCGCACTCTACCATTGACCTATACCCTCCCCGCCTTGTGAAGACTCTTGATAACGCCCTCCTCAAATCATCCTCGGCGGACAGTGCCTTCTGTTTCCGGCTGGGACCCTGACGGTCACAGATTCCCATTCGTTGGGAATTCACCACATCTCAGTGCACAGCTTCACCTGGGAGGCCCACAAGGATTTCACCCTACTTAAGATGGGCAGACAGAGGCTCAGAGAGGGACTGAACTTGTGCCCTGACTGTGATTTGAACCCAAGTCTGTCTGCCTCCTCTACCCAAGTCTCTGTCACTGGCCCCTAGCTGCTTGTACTGCTTGCTCCCTCATCTGTCTGACTGTCCAGACCACCACTTGTCTCTGCCGACATTCTGGGCGATCCCTTAGAGCAGACTTGGGGCCGAGTCACCCTATGTGACCACTGCCTGCTCAGCCAATGAGGTCTGGACCTCAGATAGTGATTGATTTTTCAGAGGCCAGTGAGAGGGTCATCTTCCCCACTGTGGCCTGAGAGTATCAAGGGAAGAGATGGGATGGGAACTAAATGTGGTCCTGAATGGCCACTTGGTGGCTGTGTGACTTTGGGTGAGCCATGGACCCTCTCTGTACTGTGGTCTCCTCATATATGCAGTGAGGGTAACCATAGCACTTCCCTTGTAGGGCTGCTGGGAAGGAGATAGGGTTCAGTGGCCAGCACAGAGCACATATCAGCGGTTCTCAAAGTGCAATCTGGGGACTCCTTGAAATTCCCAGGATTTTTTCCAAGAGGTCTGCAAGGTTTCAACTCTCGTTTTAAAAAAAAAATGTTAATGGTTATTTGCCTTAATCACTCTCACTGTCTCCCAAGTGCATAGTGGGATTTTGCAGGGACCCCATAACGTGCTATTGCAAGAGACTGAATACAGAAGCGGACGTGAGAATCCAGTGCTCTCTTAAGCCAGACGTGAAAGGGAGCTGCAACACTGAAAATGATGCCAATCTTCTGTCTACACTTTTTGTTGGAAAATATAATTATTCTTCATAAAAGAATGCTTCGGGGTTAATATGCGATTGATTTATTATTGTTTTAAAACAAATCAATCACTTAAATATGTCTCGGTTTTCATTTTTAATACAGTTTCAATAGATATAATCCACACAAACAAGCCCTTTGGGGATCTCAACAATTTGTTAGAGGTAAAGGGATCCTGGAGACCAAGGCAGTGGAGAACCACTGGGGTATATAAAGCAGTGACGTCCCTGGCATCCTATTCAGATCTGTTTCTCTCTTTGCTTCTTTGCCCGTCTCCCCCACCAGAATGTGAGCCTCCTGGGAGCCGTGATTTTTTTTGTCAGTTTTGCCCACTGCTGTATTCCCAAAAAGCACCTGGCACATTGGCATAGGCGTTCAATAGAGAATTGCTGTCTAGATAAATGAATAAATACTAATGAATGTCATATACATTTTTATCCCTTGACTTTCCCTCCCTGACCCCCGGACACTACATCAAGTACTTTAGGAGCATAACTATGCAGGAGGTTATCAAAAGGAGCAGGGAAGAGACGAGGGACCTGGATTTAAATGCAGGCTCTGCCACTTGCTACCCTGGGCTGGTAAGTTCACCTCCAAGAGCCTCAGGCCTTATTCCTGGGACGTCCAGGCGGGAGCTGTCACATCCTGGAGGTGAGATGCAACACCTAGATTCGCACCTCCAGTCAGTGCATCAAACAGCCAGATACTGAGCATCAACTGGCTGCCAGGCCAGGAGCAGAGATAAAGCAGATCCTGGATCTGTCCTCTATGAGCCGCTGTTTCATAAGGGAGAAACTGGCTGGCTGTGAGCCCTTGGGCCAGGTGTTCTACCTTCTAACTTCTGTGCCTCAGTTTCCCCACTGGTCAAATGGGGGATGATAGTAGGAGTACCCCTCTCTTAGAGTTGCTGGGAGGAGTAGGTGAGAGCTGGGCACTGAGGCTGGTAGAGGAAGTGCTCTGTGAATGTTATGATTGTTCTGTGCAAAGCCATTGCCCTACTCTGGGCCTTGGTTTCTCTATCCAGGAGCAGGTGTCAGGGTCCCGGGAAATCCTCAGTGTGCTGGTTATCTCCATACTGTTTCTTGGCTCTAAAGCCTTCCTCTCCACTTTGTTCTCAGGCCCTAGGGGTAGTGACTGCTTCCAACAGTGACTACTAGCTGGACTGCCTCAGTATCCCCTTTCTGCTTCCAGCCCATCTAACACCTTTGAAATAAACCCCTATCTTTAATACCCTCTGTTTGTAGTAACTTGAGTGGAGTCTGACCATGACTCAGGCCCCACTGTGGCTAAAAAACCCCCATCCACATCAGCCAGGCCATACCTGCAGCTTCTTGAGCTGGCTGTTGACAGTGGCCAGGTCCCCACCAGGGTCCACGTCTTGCAGCTGGCTTTCCATGTGAAGGAGCTTCTTGTCCAGTTCAGCGAAGCTTTGCACCAACTGGTCGGCCTTGCTGGCCTCAAAGAGCTGCCTCGCCTTGGCCTGGGTGGTGCTCTCCAGCTCCGCCCAGCACTGCCGGATCTCCCCCAGCTTCTTCCGTACTGAGGGCGCCAGCTCTGGTTTCTCCTGCATCAGTTGCTGGCCCTCCTGCCCCAGACGATGGAAGGCAGGAAATGAGGGGGAGGGAGTAAATGGTGGGGAGGGACAGAGAAATATGGGGGCAACAGAACACAGGGGTAGGGATGTGGAGAGAGAGACAGAGGTGAGGAGTTGGAGACACAGAGAGACAGAGACATGAGGTGTGGATGCAGAGGACACACCAAGGCATGGGGAGAGAGATGAGGAGAGACAGGCAGAGAGACATAAGCAAAGGCATGGCAAGGAGACAGGGAGAGACAGACAGCCATAGAGTGAGGGACCCAGAGACAGGAACAGAGTCAGAAACATGGGAAGAAGGCCATAAGAAAGAGAAGGGGAGAGACAGATTGAGATGGAAGAAAGAGACAGAGAGAAAGGCAGAGAGCACAAACCTTCATTAAAGTCAAAGTTGAGAAGAGTGGCTTTGCCCCTAAAGCTGTCAAATGAAGCCCCCATAACTATGCCACCATTTATGGGCTGTCAGTGGCATTTGAGGGTTTAAGGCCCATCTGGGTATCTCCGTTTGAGTCAGAAGAGTGTGGGGTCGGGGTGGGGGGGCTCTGGGGCTGCAGGTCTTGGGGGCAGTAGGGGGGTTGATGCTTGGCGCAAATATCTGCTCAGGTCCCTCCAAGACTGAAGTCAAGCTAGAGCCACATTAAAAATAACAATACTATAGCAATTCCAGCTCCTAGGTGCCTGGCCTTGTGTTAAGCACTTTATGTGCACAAGAGCCCAGGGAAGTAGTTGTATTTATTATTCTCTTAATTTTAAAGTAGAGCAAACTGAGGCTCAAAGAAGTTAATACAATCCCCCCAAGGCCCCAGAGATGCCAACAGGCATAGATACAATGAGAACCCAAGATTGTAGGAATCCAAAGTTCACTTGAACCCAAGCTTCCCAGGGCTGCTGCAGCCTGTCTACCTGACTTTCCCTTTTAGATACTCCAAATGATGTGGAAGGAAACCTGGTGCAGGAGGTTATAGGAAAGGGTGAAATATTTAACTCTCCAGAAGACATGTTGGCCATTTTACAGATGGGCAAACTGAGGCTCCAAGAGGTTACATGAATTGCTCAAGGCCACATAGCTAAAAGCGGATGTGGAAATGATTTGAAGCAGTTCAGAGGTATGAGAATAGCAGGTTGGCAGTGGAGGGTGAAGGAGGTGAGACGTGGGTTTCCTGGAGGCACCTAGCATGGGCCTGGCAGGTAGGAACTTTGGGTTCCTACAACCTTGGGTTCTCATTGTATCTACACCTGTCAGCATGAGCCTGGGTCTTCTGCATCCTCACCCTCTCGATCTTCTCCAGCCACTCCTTATTCTGAGCTAGCTCGGCCATGAATGCCTGGTGCCGGAGCCATCGCTTATGCAGCTTGTGGCCATCTTCCCGCGTGCTATCCCGCGCCATCAGCATCTTCTCATGGATCCAGCCATCCAGCTGTTCAGGACAAGGGGAGGGGCTTGGCCAATTCCCCCAACCTGGCATAGACCCCCATCCCCACCCACTCTGTGATGTCCCAGGTTCAGGGCCTAGGTTTCTGGGATTTCGGAAGGAGAGCAAGGTAGGATGGAAAGACCTTTGCAAGTGAGGCCTTATGCGGGCATGCTCAAGCCCTTTCCTAAGGGGTGGAGGATGGATGGATGAGCCACTAGAATGCCTCATCCCTTAGTCCCTCTATCCGCAGGACAGCCCTTTTCAACTCCTCATAAGCTTTAAGCCCCAAGGCAGGGTTCCTGGGCCAGTCAGCCCCCTCCTGCCCACAGCCAAATCAACCCTCCAAAACAAGCCCTCCAATTTAGAATTTAGCTGTCTTCCAGTTCAACCATGCTCTCCCACCATGGCAACACTTAGATCCTTTCATTCAGTCTCAGCCACTTCCAATAAAGACCAATTCCAGATCCCTAACCCATTCCCAAATGTATCAAGTGAAGCCCCCATATCTAACCCCAGGCCCCCAATATGGCCAAATGAACCTCTAAAAAAAACCTCTTAACTAACGCCAAGTCTAGTTCCTTCCAAACCATCTCTTCAATCTGCGGTAGACCTATCCCCCACAACCCAGGTCCAGCCTCCCTAATGAGCCCACAGGACTCCCCAAATCCAGCATTGAAGATCCAGCCCAAGACCACAGTTCCCCTAAACCATGACCAGTTCTAGCCCTCAAAGGCGGCCCTCCAAATGCAAGCATCAGGGCTACCCTCTTGCTCCCCAAATGAACCTAGCCTCAAATCTAGCACCAGACTCCCCAGCACGGACTAGGTAGAATCCCCGTCAAGTCAGCCCCCTGTCCCAAACTAAAGTCAGTTCTAGTCCCCCCATTCACCAACAAAACCAGTCATTCAAAATGTAAGTACCAATAGTGGGCCCCTCTCACTACCTTCAGCAGGACCAATCACACTGCTGCTTTCTGAGCCACCATCCCCCTCCCAGTAAGACTTGTCTCCTAAACTGGAACCTCCCCACTCATGACCAAACCTGGCACCTGGGACAGTTTGCTCCTCCCTCTTCTCCTCCCCCCCTCCAACCCCAGTCACAAGATCCTCCTTCTCCCTCCTGGAAAAAAAAAAACAAACACGGACTCTAGCTTGCAGTCATAGCCAAGGACAAATCCCCAGCTGGCCAAACCCGCTCCGTGTCCCCTGAGCATGCGCTCCCCAGGGGGCCAGGACAGCTTCAGACTCCCTCATACACACACACACACCACTAGAGCCAAGTCAAATGCTGAATCCCCCAACGCAATTCACAGGTTCCCAACAAGCCGGGAAGAGTTCGCTAATGGCAGCCACAGCTCACAGGGAAAGCAAAGCCCCTGTAGGAGAGGTACTCCGTCATCAAGGTAAAGCCCCCCAAAAGTGACTGAGCCCCAACACTGAGGGCAAAGCCAGAGTTCCCAATAACCCAGGAAAAAGCCTTCAAAAGTCAGAGCCTCCCAAACCCAGACCAAATCCAAGACCCTTATCGCCCAAGGCAGACCCCCGCAAAAGTGATTCGCCCCCACCATCTAAGGCTGACAGATTCCACAAGAATTAGGAAAGGACGGCTCCAAAGGTTGAGAGTCCCCCAACCCCAGGGCAAATCTCAGATCCCCCATTACCCAGAGGGGGATCTGAGAGAGCCTCCTAGAGAGGTTGAGACCCCCTTAACCTCCAGGGCAAATCCACACTACCACAGGAGTAGCCTTAGAAGTGCCCCCTTTTTCGCCACGGTCCCTTGGGACCTGGCCCCTCAGTCCCGCCCGCAGCAGCACCGCGGACAGCTCCCGGAGTCTGGGCCCCTCCCCAGGGCTGGGGTCCCTGCTCCTGGTCCACCCGCCCTCGCGCCGCCAGCGCCCCTCCCTCCCGCGGCGGGTCGGCGAGCACGCGCCCAAGCCCCCTCCCCCGCCTGCCTCGGCGGGGGCGCGCATCAGCCCCCTCCCCTAGGCGCCCCTGAGACCTGAAGTGTCAGAGGCGTTGGCAGGGCGTCCCTGTGGCGGGCGGGAGGGCTCTTGCCCCTCCACTGCGACGGCGGCGGCAGCGGTGGTGACAGGCTGAGGCTCCGGCGGACGCGCGCCCCCGCCCCCACCCCCGCGCCGCGGCAGCGCGCCCGCCCGCGCGCGCCCCCTGCCTGCCTCCGTGCCCGCCTCCCTGCCGGGCCCTCGATGCGGGTAGAGAAAGAATCACTACCCTCCCTAAAGCATGGCGGAGTTGGGGGTGGGGGGTTGTTGTGGGCCATCTCAGACGATTGCTGCTTGGTCCAGAACAATCTAACGAGAGGCAGAAGGGGTTCCTGGGCCAAATCGAACGGCTAGGGGTAGAGGGAGGCCGGGGCCTGGGCTGCCTCCGCTACGTGAGGGGGCTGGGTGGGGTAGGCACCTGAACCATCTCTATTGGGAAAGGGCTCAGATTTCTGGCTACCTCAGCTATATAGGAAATACTGGAGGGGGCCTGGAACATCTCCTATAAGACTTCAGTCCAGAATAATCTCCAGTGGAAAGGACGGGGACGGGGATTCCTGAACTCACCTCTAGTAGGCTAGAGTCCCAGACCCATCTCTAATGGGCTTGAGTTATTGGGGGTGGGGCGGGGTATGGAAGCCCTTGTCCATTTCATGTGTGGGGAACACAATCTATCATGGGTGTTCACATGGAGGGAATCAAATCATCTTTAATTGGGGGGATTGGGGCCTGGTTCCTGAACCATCTTTGGTTGAGGTAAACTTAAGTACTGTATCATCGTGGAGGGGGTGCTAATGATCCTAGGTCAGGTAACTAGATGAGGCCGGGACCATCTCTGTTTGGGTTAGGAAAATATTTACTGGGTCATCTCTCATAGGGCCATCTCTTATGTGGTCAGGGTCCAGTACAGTTTCTAGGGAATGCAGGGGAAGGAGAGAGAAGCAATGTGTCTCCCGAACCGTCTCTAGTGGAAAAGGGGACCTGGATCACTTCTGATTTGGGGTGATCCTTATAGGTGTGTAGATCATCTCTTAAAGGGCAGAGCTTGATTTCTAGACACTTAAAGGGCGAAGGCTTGGTCCTGGACCATCTCTGACTGAAGCTGCGCTCTGGGCTGCTGGTACCACCACCCACACCTACCCCCCAGCTCTCGTGTCTCGGGTCCTTCCCCACAGCAGGGCGCTTCTCACGAATCTCCTGAGGGAAAGGTGAGATCACCGCGCGTCCCCGCGGGACCCGTAGGAGTGGACGGGCTCCGTTGCCAGGGGCGACCAAGGTCCCTCCCTCCTTCCCCGCTGCCCGTGTGGGCGGAGGAGAGAGACTTGAGGGGCATGCGCACTAAGGCCAGGATCCGCGCGCCTCCTGGCGGCACGAAGTGAACATCGCTCCGCGACCCACTTAGACGGGGCGTCCCCGCCCCCACCGCGCCTCTGTCTTGGAGCACTTCCCTCCCTAGGAAAGAAGTCCCTGTGCTCAGCACAGCTGGAATTCCTACCTCGTGGCAGTCCCGGAGGAAGTGCTGCAGCCCAAGTTGGTCGTGTAGCTTCTGCATCCATTGCTGGGCCCGTAGCTGGTTTTCTTGGCTCCTGGGGATGGGGAGATAGGAGTTGGGGGGAAGCCTGGGTATGGGGGCACTGGCAGTAGGGCTGTGGGGGCATCGGGCTTGGCAGGACTAGGAATCTGGGGCATATGTACCAGCGAGGAAGAGGGGAAAGCAAGGTGGGGATGGGAGGAGAGGCAAAGAAACATCAGTAGGGGCAGAGCCAGGGACAGAGCTGGGAGAGGGAGACTGGGGGAGGTGGGGAGAGGGAAAGAGAGTGAGAGGAAGAGGGAGGGAGAGAGAGGGAGAGAGAATGGGAGAGAGAGGAATAGAGACAGACAGATATCTGGAAAGAAAGAAATACACTTAGACACAGAGTAACAAAGGGACACAATCCTAGAGACAGAGATAACAGAAACACCTAGAGAGTAAGAGAGGTCAAGAAGGAGAGACAGATAGATTCAGAGAGGTAGAGAGATGCAAAGGCCTAGAGAGAGAAACAGAAACACACAGACACAAGGCCAGAGACAGAGAAACAGAGACCTCCAGAGGGAGAGATTTGGAGAGACAGATGAAGAGAGAGAGACTCAGGGATAGAGAGAACAGGAGAAGACAGGAAAGAAATGAAGCGTGGGTAGTGCCAGAGAGAGAGCAGAAGTCAAGGAGAGAAGGAAGCAGAGGAAGGGAAAGTGACAGAGAGAGTCAGGGGAGGGACAGCCTAGAAAGGGACAGGCAGAGCAGTGGCAAGATGCCACCAGTAAAAGACACTGCCAGACAGACAGAAGGCCGTGACAGAGCTGGAGAGAGGGATGAGAGGAGGGTGTGGTTAGATGGGGCTGGAGCCACTGGGAGGCAAGAAGGGGCAGGCCCTTGGCCTAAGTGAACTGGCCAGGCTGGACTCAGGCCCTGCCACCCCAGAGCCAGCCGGCACTGCAGCCCCAGGCAGCCTGGCCTCCTGCCCACAGTGCAGGGCAAAGTGCCCAAGAGGCCTGTTGGAGAGGGCTGGGGGGCATCCCACTTTGCTGTGCCTTGAACAAGCAACTCTCACCTCAGGGCCTTGGTGTGGGCTGTTTCCTCTGCCTGGAATGCTCTTCCCCTCAAAGTGTACTCAAATGTCACCTTCTTAGCGAGACCCCCTCTTGACCACCCCCCAACACTTTCTGGCTTTCTTTCCTTCTTTAATTTTCTCCTTTGCACTTAAAACTGTCTAACACCTGTATATGTTACATATTTATCTCATCTGTCTCCCCCACTAGGATGTCATTCTGTGAGGACATGAACTTTTGTTGGTTTTGTTCACAGCTGTATCTCCAATGCCTAGAATAAAGGTCTGGCACACAGTAGGTGCTCAATACATAGCTGATGAATGAAAGAAAGCAAGAGAGATAGAGAGGCAGAGAGAAAGAGGGCAGAAACAAGGTAATGTGTCTGACGAAGAGAGAGAGAGAGATGTAGAAAAAAAGACAGAGGATGCAGATGGAGGTAGAAGAAGCAGAGAGAAAGGCAGAAGGAAATAGACATATACAGATGTCCGGAGAGATGGAGGCAAAGGGAGCAAGTCACAGAGAGAACCAAGAGCAGAGCTGAATGGAGGAACAGGAAGGACCAGAGACAAGCAAGATATGGACTCCCTCCTGCCCAGACTCTGCTCAGGAACCAGGAAATAGGAAATGCCTCTGAAATTGAACTGAACTCAGTCCCTCCAGGCCTTCACCAGCCAACTTGTCAAGCATCAGTCCTAGGGATGAGGAAGATCCCTCATATCTGGGAGAGTGAGAAAACAGCTGTGACCTCCGGCAAGTCTGTTCCCTTCTCTGAGCCTCATGTACCAAATGCAGACCAAGAGAGCCCCTTGCAGGCAGGGCTGGGCCAAGGTCCAGGGGAGGTGAGGCACATGGAGAGAGAAGTCACTTGCCCTGAATCTCACAGGTTGAGAGGCAGAGGTGGGACTAGGACTTGACCCTGTCTGACCCCAGGGCTCCCACAGGCCCCTGCATCTCTCACTCCAGGCCCTGCCCAAGCTGCTGGTGCTTCCTTTCTCCCAGCCCTGACCATTCTGAGTCACCCTTGTTAGAGAGCCTGCGAGCTCTCTGAGCATCGCCCCACCAAGGCTGGAACACAGCATGGACTCAGTACGTGTTTAATTGGCCGAAGAATCAATGTATAAAACTAATGCAACACTGTAAATCAATGCTACTTCAATTTAAAAAATCAATGAATAAACAATAGAATTAAAGGAGCAATTAATGACCGCAAAGGAATGAAGGTGTGACTCAGAGGGAACAGCCCTCCAGGCCCCTCCTCCTCCTCATGCAGCAGAGCTCGGCATAGAGCAAAGACTCGAGAAATGTGGGATAAGGGAAGGAAGGGACCAGGCCTGGAGCTGGGGGCACTAGATCATGCATTTGCATCCTCAGGATGGGAAGCCCCATAAAGGCTTTGTTTAGAGTGAACTCCAACCTTGTCCCAGACAAATTTAGGGGAAAGGGACACCTGAGCCCTAAATAGAGGCAGAGCTGGGGTCCCTGGGCTCTGGCTGGTGGTGGAGGGACTGATTTCCATCAGGAGATGGAAGACAGAAGGAGGGGAAGTGGGCTCTCTTCCTGCCTCACTCATGCCAGAGAGGAGAAAGCTGAGGTCACCAGGAGAGGTACAAACAGTGACAATGACAGAAAGAAGTAGGCCTAAAGAAAACCCTGTAAAGGACTCTGTTTGAGGCCGGATTTTTTTTGAGGGGTGGGGGCTGTTGCTGTTTTGTACAGGGCCTAGAATCATGCCTGGCACACAGTGGACACTTAGTAAATGCCTTTGCTTGATTAGTGCAAGGACAGACAGGAGACAGGGCAGAGGTGAGAGACAGATGGTGACGGAATCAGAGAAGGATAATGTGCCAAAGAAGCATGAAAGAGACACACAAACACACACACTCTGGGTGCTTCCTAGAGAGCTGTGTGGTTGCGGCCCGCAGGGAAGTTCTTTCCCCACATCTGACAACCAGCATGGCTGGGGACACCGTCCCATCTGGAAAGCTGGAACAGAAGCTGTGTATGGCCTTTAGCTGCCAGATCTGGGGACCAGAGCAGCAGGGCAGATGCTGGGGCATCTAGGAAAAGATGTTAACATTTTAACAACCAGTCCAGCTATCTCAGGCTGAGGGTAAGCTTTAGGGAGGAAACTTTTCATTGTGTATTCTTCTGCAGCTTTTGGGTTATCAACCACTAGTTACTTTTTCACAGAACATCAATTTAAATCTAATCTAAAATAATGTGGAATTTGGTAGAAATCAGAGAGGGGCAGAGAAGCAGAAATGTGATGGCAAGAAAGGGAGTTCCGGCCTCCTCACCCCTCCCCTGTGCCCAGATCCCACTCCCTGCACCCCTGGGATCTGAGGGACCTACTTCTCCAGCAGCCGAGCCACGGCCTCCTGGGCCTGCTCCCCGTAGGCGTTGCCCTGCCTCAGCAAGCTCTCGGCAGCCTGCACAGCCACCTGCATCTTCTGCTGGTTCAGCTCCATCGTGGTGAGAAAATCCCGGTGCCGTTTCAATGCCTCCTCCACCGACTCCACAGTGCCGGGCAGCTCCAGACCCGACAGTGCCATCTCCTGGGAACGGGAGAGGGGTGATGCTCAGGTCAGCCCTGCTCCATTCCAGGGCCTGGGAGAGGCTGCCGACCATTTTGTTTTACCCTAGTCTCCAAAGTCTTGGTTGGTAAATACGCTTTAGGAAAGAAGGATCCATCCTACTGCTTCCAAGTCAGTGGGATGAAGGGCTTCCCTCCCTTGCTCACTGTGTTTCTGCATCAAACATGCCAGGTATGGTCCCATGTCAGGGCCTTTGCCCCTCCTGGTCCCTCTGCCTGGTAGTCTCTTCCTCCAGATATCCCCATAGCTGGCTCTTTCACTTTCTTTGAGTCTCTAACCATCTGCCAAAAATCATTCTCTGCCTGAGCCACATTCCTTTACCATGCTTTACTATTTTTCATAGCATATACCTGGCATGATATTATAGATGCATTTTCTTGCTTATCATCTCCTCCCCCACACACATCAGAATGCCAACCACATGAGGGTGGGGTTTCATGTTTCGTTTCTTGTGTGCTCAGCCCCAGAATAGTGCCTGGCACAGAGGAGGCACTCAGTAAATATCCGATTAATTTGTGAAGACCAACCTGAGTGCTGTGTGACTTCAAGGAAGTTCTTTCCCTCTCTGGGGTGAGTTTTCTAACTGGTAAAATGAGTGGGTCAGAAAGGGTCTCTCAAGATCACCTCAGCTCCAATGTTTAGTAACCTCATGATTCCAGGGGGTCCCTGTCTGTTCCTCCAGATAATCCTCTAACTGGGTCATCTTTCTCTAGATAATCAGCACAGGTAGTCACCCTTTCTAAAATGGTCCCTAAAAATCAGTACCGACTCTTGGACAATCTGAAAACTGGGTGTTCTATCTTGACCAAATCCTCACATTTGGTTCCCAACCCAGGGAGAGCTCTAGACTGGATCAGCTGTTCCCAGATAACCCCGGATCGATTCCTCAGGCCATAAAAGCAGTTACCCTCTCCAGAGAATCTGCAAATTGCCATCCCCAACAAAAAGAGAATCTGCTAATTTAGGCCCCCACAACTATCTAATCCACAGTCACTAACTGATCCCAATAATCTCTCAACCTGAATTACCTACTACTTACTTCATTCTCTGTTATCCACCCCAAGATCTTCTTTGACCCTCATTAACCATCACTCATCAACCTCATACTCTTATTTCCTTCCAGACAGGCCACAAACCCAGAAAGCCAGTGCAATGAACATCCAAGTGCATTACTCACTCAGAATATTCCACAGTCACCTCGGATGACACCAACCCACCCATCATAATCCTCAAGTTCTGTTACACACACACTCACATATGTTCACACCAGTTGATTCACGAACCCAGCTGTCCATACCAGATACTTCCCCCTCCCCTACTCCCAGTGACATCAGAGAAGCCACGAACCCAGTGGCCCCCACAAACACACTCCTGCATACATTTTCCTGTCCCTGCAACACCTCCCTTGGCCTCAGACCCCCACCCGCATCAACCCCGAAACGGGCACCTGGTTGCGCAGCACCGCTCGCGCCTGGCGTAGGTCGCGCAGAAAGAGCTGGTAGACATGTGCCTGGACCAGCGCCTCCCTGCGCGCCTCCCACAAGCCGAGCAGCTTGTGCCAGCCAAGTTCGAGGTGCGGCAGCCACTCATCCAGTGCCAGGCCTGGACCCAGCTCGGCGCCGTCGCCCGCCAGCAGTGCCTCGCTGGCCGCCACGATGCGCGCATAGTCCTCCTCGCGCTGGTCCACTTCCTCCTTGAGCGCCGCGTGGCGAGCCAGCAGCGCGTCGGCCTCCTCCAGGCTGCCCGGCAGGGGCCCCTCGCAGCCGCCAGCCATCTCCTGGGCACGCACCAGCCAGTCCAGGAAAGCATCCAGGTCGTGCAGGAAGCGCTGCAGGCGCCCGGCAGCCGCCACCGCCTCGCCACAGGCCTGAGCCGCGCTGGCTAGCGCGCCCCACTCGGCGCCCAGTTCCTCCGCACCCTGATGCAGCCGCGCAGCCTGCGCCGGGAAGCGCACAGCCAATAGGGCCGCCTCCTCCAGAAGGGCCGCCTGGCGCGGCTCTAGCGCTTGCAGAGCCGCCTCCAGGCCGCTAAGGCGCCACTGCAGGGCGCCGCCGGCGCGGGGCGCGCTCTCCACAGCTCTCCGCTTCTCGCGCACCTGGGCGCGCACCTCCGCCACCTCCAAAACGTGGTTCTCCACCAGCAGCACCGCGCTCATTTCCTCTTTGCGCTGTTCCACCAGCTCCACGATGCGGTTCCACCTGCCCAGGGGAAGCAGGGCAGCTTAAGGAGGACAGGGCCCTCAAGTATGGAGGGCCCACTGACCCTGGGTAGAACCCAGCCACTGTGTGACCTTGGAATATCCCCTTATCTCACCAAGCTACACTTTCTGCCTGTGTGAAATGGACTCCACCCCGCACATTTGCTTACAGTAGCAGTTCTCAAAATGTAATCTGAGCGAGGGCAAAACTATCTTCAACAAAATGCTAAGATGCTATTTGCCTTTTCACTCTCATTCTCTCCCGAGTGTACAATGGAGTTTTCCAGAGGCTGCAGGACAAAGACTGATTGCAGAAGCAGACCTAAGAACTCAGCTGCCTTCTCTTAAGCCAGACATGAAAGAGATTCGCAAAAACGCAAAACAATGCCACTCTTCTCACTGTATTTCTTTTGTTTTGAACAATAGTTATTTTTCATTTAAAATATTAGTTATGTAATATCATATGTTTATGATTGTTATTTTTAATGACAATATTTTAAAAACACCCAGTGTTAATTTCTAATATAGTAAATATTGATAGACATAACCTGATGGACATAACGAATTCTTTGGGGACCTTAATAGTTTTTAAGAAAGCAAAGGGTTCTGAAATCAGAGTGTCAGAACATCAATGGGAAAAATTATGCATTGCTCTGTGTCCTCAGGCAAGTGATAATACTTCTCTGGGCCTCAGTTCCCATCATGGGCAGTGTATGGTCCAGGTTACAAGCACAGAATCTGAGTCGGACTGCCTGGCTATGTCAGGCTCAGAGTCAAATCTAAGTTGTGCATCCTTTGGCTAGTAACCCTCTCTGTGCCTCAGTTTCCCCACCAGTAAAATGGTAACAATCATAGCACCTACCTCATAAGGGTGCTGTGAGATCCAAATGAGTTATGATTTATGAACTGCTTCAGACAGTACCTGTTTGCTTCTGTATTTGAGTGGGGACACTCTTTGGAAACAGATCAAGCCCTTTTCTACCTCATAGCCTTCGCTTCAGCCGTGCTCCCTGCCTGGAATGCCCTGTCCCCTCTTTCCTCTTTCACATATGTCCTCTTCCTGTGGCTGGATCCTTCTCATCCCCTTTGAGGGCTCAGCTCAAAATGCCATGGCTGACCACAAGATCTAAAATCACCACCAAGCCCGTTATGCCCTACCAGGTCACTCTATTTCCTGCATCCTTATCCTTACAATTCTCTAAATATCTCATTCATTTATTTGTTTATTTGTTAATGCCTTTTGTCCCCTCTAGAATGGACACCCACAAGGAAAGAGATTAAGACTCTGAAATCAGAAGGACTCAAGTTCAAGTTCTATTCTGGCCAGATTCACCATGTGAACTTGGGCAAATCATTTCTGTCACTGATACTGCTTCCTCATTGGGAAAATGGGGATAATTATGTCCACTTTATTGGTTGTTTAATGATATCATGTAGCTAAAGCACTTGGCACCTAATCTCACTAAATACTCTAAATCACTATTGCTATCATCACCTTTTTAGGCCCTGGCACCCTGGGATTGCTGAGGCTACAGGGGCTTGGAAATCACAGGATACTGGGATCTTACAGCACAGCAGTTATGGGCACAGACTTCGGAGTCAGACAAACCCAACTTCAAATCCAGGATTGACCCTACCCCCAACTTGCCATGTGACCTTGGGCCACTTTCCCCTCTCTGAGCCCCAGTTTCCTCCTCTCTAACATGGGTAATTTATACCCCTACAGAGTTGCTGGGAAGAACTCTGTGGGAGAATATATATGATCAGAGCCCCAGCTCTGGATTCAAGCAGAGCTAGGTTTGACTTCTACTTACTAGAGTGAGTAATCTCGGATAAGGATTTCACCTCTCCAGACCTGTGTCTTTATGTATGAAGCCTACCCACACTGGGAGAACTGCTGGTAGTATTCTGGGGGAAAGATTTAATTTGTTGCTATTCTTAAAGAGTTTCAAATTCTGGAAACTTTCTATAGACACTGAGATATGGGGAGATAAAACAAGGTATATTAAGTATTTGGAAAAATTCCTGGCATATAGTAGATACTCAATAAATCATTTCAGAACAAATGAAATAATACTCCATTGAAATGTACTGTATCCTCATTTTACCACATCATCACTAGCACTGGTTATCACCAATTTTTTCAAGATTTTGCTAATTTACTAGGTAGCCCTTAACATCTCAGTGATTTGAAATTGCACATTCTTGATTTCTACAGCAGAGTGGATGAGGAAAGGAATGATGGGAAGAACTGGTGTGGGATGCCCAGAAGGACTTCCAGCCCCAGGCCCCACCTACCTGCTGTTGAGGTGGTCCTGGCAGGAGCGCACCTCATCTGAGCTGGGGTGGCCTCCTTCCACCAGCTCCTGGACCGTGTGGTTTACATCCAGGACTCGGCTCATCAGACTGTTCATCTCCTGGTCCAGGCTCTCAAAGCTGTGGAAGAAGGATGGACATACTCAGAGAGGCCTGGACCCTGGGGACCTGCCCACTGGTTCTTGCAAAGCTGCCTCTTCCTGCTTCTCCTCCTAATTCTCCAACCTTACCTCCTCAGGCTCCTTTGTCAGTTCCTCTTCTTCTACCTGTCACTTAAATGTTACATTTCTCAGGGCTCTGTCCTGGGCCCACTGAGCTCTCCCCCACATCCTGCCTGGACCATCTCACCCATCCCCACAGCTTCAGTCCTCACCCCTGAACTCATCACTCCCACATCTGACTCTAGCTTCAACCTTGTTCCTTCTGAATCTGTCTCCAGCCTTAAACCCTGCTATGTACCTCCTCAGGGCTCCCTACTGTGACTCAAACTGGCTTCAGTATCTCCCCTGATTTGTTCTTCCTCTGGGTCCCCATCTCAGGAACCACCCTACTATATCCTAGGCCAGAGCCCTGGGCTCTGTTTTGGACATCACTCCCCTCAAGCCTGTCTTCCCCATGGCCTGTCCACTTGGACTCCTGCCTTGGTCCAGTCTTGTCCCCTCCTACCTAGGTCCCCACCCCAGTTCCCTCTCTGGGCTGCCAGCCACCGTTCTTACCCACTCCAACCCACCCTCCACCTGGCAGCCAGGGAGATCTGTTTTAAGCTGGCCATGGCCCTCCCTTATTTAAAACAATGCCCAAGGCTGTGGCTTGGGTAACCGTGGACAGTCACAGAGGGGACCAGGCCTGTGTTTCCAGCAAGGCCTGGAACAGAGTAGGAACTCAGTAAGTACCCACTGAAATAAGTGGATGGATGCACATGCTCAGAGAGAAAGGCACAGAGGGTTCATCCACTAATTTAAAAACTCATCACTTAACCTGCCAACAGACAAACCAGTATCTACTGTGTCACAGGGTGGTAAATGCTATGAAGAAACATAAAGTGGGTGAGGGAATAGAAAGTGACAAAGGTCAGAGCAATTTTGTTAGCTAGGGAGGTGACATCTATGCAAGGGCAATGAGAGTCCCAGGGGAGGGATCAGGCTGGGGCATCCCTGGAGAAGCTTAGGTTAAGTTCATGCCAGGTGACTATAAGCCTCATAGTAATAATAGCAAACGCTCCTGGGGTGCTCCCTGAACCCAGACATTTGCTAAGTATTTTGCAGGTATTAACTCACTTACTGTTCTCCAGGAGTTTGTGAGGTTGGGACTAATATCGTTCCCATTTTACTAGAACCCCTGGTTCCAGGTGAGTGAACACGGAAACTGTTTAACCAAGGAAGGTGAGACTGTGCGCATGAGGAAGGGGGCCGAGAAGTCCCACAAGCGGGCGCTCACCGGTGCTGCACCACCTCGACGTCGTCGAGTGAATCAGGCACACGCATGGCGAGCAGCCATTGCTCCTTCTCACCGATCCACAGCTCGCAAGCGTGCACCTCCCCGAACATGCGGTAGACGGCGAGGGCATCCCGCAGCCACTGGCGCCGCAGCGCAGCCACCTCGGTCACCTCGGCGAACAGCTGCTCGGCCTCCACAACGCGCACCTGCAATGCCACCACCAATGGCCCAGCGCCACTAGCGCCCCCAAGTGTGGCCAGCTGACGCCGCAGGCCGCCCACTGGCCCGCGATGCGCCTCCACCTCCCCAGTGAGCGCGCGGT